CGATGGCCCGTGGAAACGCCAGGGCACCCAGGAAACCCACAAAACCAACCAGTAACTCAGCATTCCCACAATCGATACCTGAAGAGCAGCGGAGAAACACTGGCACTTATGCCATGCCTCTGGGAATCATGTCATGATCATGCCCGCTGCTTGGGGTGCCTAGAGGAGCTCATTGGGACCTCTTGTCAGTTGGTTGATCCGTCTCAGACCACCGCCCAAGACAAATTCTGACGTTGCACGTTCGTCATCGCCTGTGCTGACTGCAAAGCAAAAATCCGTGGAGAGCCCTCTCCTACGCAAGACCATCCTGCACTTAGTGATGGCCTCATGACAAACCTGTGCCCGTCCCCGGTCGGTGTGAAACTGAAGTTGGGGACCACTGTTAGTCCGCCGCCCTAACGAGTTCGCCAGGAGCTCCAGAAATGGCGCTGCGCGAAAAGAAACCCCAGAAGTCCCGTTTGACCACGTTTTTCCTTCTGGCCCGCGCCGGCAAGACAGCAGTCGGCTCACTGCAGCCAGGCCGAAAGACAGCCCATGTCGCAGGGCATGAACTGACCTCACAAGATTAAAACATATGTGTTATGATCGCGGCGAGCTCTTCACGGCCCTGACGAAATTTGTCGACACGACTGTATCGTTGCATGGGGACAAGGGACCGACGTAAATGGCGTAACTACGCCTCGCGCGTGGTGTCCAGCTCCTCGTTTTGACACACGCTGTTTCTTCGCAGCACTCGCCCTGGTCTGTCCCGGCAACTTGTCGCATCTGCCGCCGCTGTTCTGCCGCCTGCTAGCGCTCGGTAGCTTGCGCAAGCTTGTTCCGCTCGCCGCCGTGGTTCTCCATGACAAGCCGATCATCAACTTCAACAGTTGTGAGCAGGAACAGCTTGGGCCTCCAACGTGCCAAAGAAAATCTTGAGATGCGTGGAAATATGTTCGTCTGGGCTCTGGCTACGGAAGCGTAGCTTGAACGCGTCCGACGCGGTGAAGAACTTGTGTTTTTCCTTATTTGGATGCGGCCGTTCACCCGCAGCCAGCGTTTTTTCGAAACTCTCCGGCTCCTCCGGCTCCAACAAATCGATTTGGCGTTGCATTTCCTGCAACGCCTGTTCTGTGTCGGTGAGCGTATGATGCAGTTTCTGTTGAAACTCCTCCACCTCGTGCTGGATGGACTGTACTTTGGACTCCAACTTGGTTGAAGTCTCTCGCGCGCTTTGGCCAAACGTGTATTGGTGGGGTGCTTCTGATTGTGGAGCGGCTTGGCATACTGGGTCTACGTCTGAAGCTCGTCCACACGCACGCAAACAAGCATTTGTTTACCAACTCTGGTAACTCCCGAACCGTGCAGCTTCCTGCCAGTGTGAAAACCTCCTCCCTGATATTAGTGACGTCATCGTCCCCCTTGGAAGAGGATGCCCCCGACGACGCCCAGGGCAGCAAAAACGCACAATTTCAGTTCTCCAGGCCCCCGATGCGCTCGAAGATCGTCCGCAGCGTGACATCGACCTTTGGCGCTCCAGACTGCCAGTGCCCTTTGGGTCTCAGCTTGATGTCAGTTTCTTGCGCCATGATCTTCTCGTAAGCTGCTCGGGCTGCCTTCGGGACGGCAGGGAGTACATGTTACCCACATGCGCACTTGACCTGTGATGCCCAATTGCCTGAACAATAACGTCGGGTGCAATGCCACAAAGGCCTCCCCCACAAAAACGTCCTTCAAATTCATGGAACCACTCTCGTGTACACTTGGTGCGCGAAGGAATGTGGTTTGCTCCGGCAAGAGCTCCAGGACTTTGGTAGACTGGCCTGTCCTGTCAGAAAGCGTGGGGCCCGAGCCCGCTCTTCGGCTGCACACGAGCTGGACACCCCAGCAGGGCACCGAGTTTTCAACTTGAGCAAGAATTTCTACGGAACTCCCTCATCCCTCCTTCCCTTCATCCCTCGACCCCTTCCTTCATCATTGCTTTCGTTTGCCCCCCCCTTTCCCTCCCCAGTCCACCCAAACCATTCGTCCATCCCTCTCCATCCATGACATGCCATCTGCCACCGCGTGCCCAATACACGCAGCGGAAGGTACGAAGGCTCATGGGGGGAGATCGTGCTTCCCAAAATCAGGCATGTCCAGGGGGCTTTTACTTGTTTGGTGGGAGGAAGCAATGGGTATGGGGGCATTTCGTCCGAGGCCGACCCCAGCTTTCCGCGGGGCTGATCGACGTTGCTCGGAATGCGGGGGCCTTCTCTGGAGGCGTCCCCCCGGCGCTGCTCGGGTAAACCGTGAGGAGAGATGCCGAGCAACGCTCAGCATTGACAATCCGTGCCAAGCCAATGCCAAGCAAGTATAAGCAACGCCAAACAATGCCAACAAACGCCGACCAATACCAAGCAACGTTAAGCAACGCCAGGCAATGCCAAGCAGAATTTTCAAGCAATGCAATACATGCCCAACAACGGAAAGAAATGCTAAGCCAAGCCAAGCAATGCCAAGCTGCCAAACCACGCTAAGAAATGCCAAGCGACGAGTCAAAGCAAGGAGGCCACGCACCGATACCAGTCAACGAAGCCACGCAGCAGTGACAGGCAAAGCCACGCAACTAGTCAAAATATGTCTAAGCAATGCCAAGCAAGCACTGCCGAGGCAATGCCATGCAATGTTAAGTAATGCCAAGCAACGCTGAGAGATGCCAAACAGCACCAAACAACGCTAAGCAACGCAAATCAATGCCAAGCGACGATCCCACGCATTGCCATATAATGCCACACAATGCCAAGCTGCGCCAAGCGATGATGCCACACAATACCAAACACTGCAAAGTAATGCGTTACATTGAATTGTTTGTGCATTGCTCAGAGCTGGTTTGACTTGCTGCGGAAGAAAGAAAGCCCCCAATCGGGCCTGGATCATCAACGACATTGGAGTTAGACACGAGGACGATAAAACGCGGCGTGTTCTTTTCACGACGCCTGGCTGTCAAACTCCCTCCCACGCCTCCAGCTTGTTCACAACTTCCCTTCCAACCCTCTGGCCTCCTCAGGAGAGTTTGGGGCGGAAAATGCTGAGCGAAACGAGAAGAAGAAGAGGCTGAGAATCAGACAGACGAGCAAGGAGGAGGGGAGGAGGAGACGGAGGAACAATGAGCGGGGCAAACGGTAGTGAAACAAGCAAAGGAGGAAGAGGGGAAGTGGATCAGGTGGACGCTGGAAGGAAGAATGAGGTGGAAGACGGGACGAGGAAGCGCAGCATGAGGTTTGGGGAAGGGGGCGGAGTGGCGAGGCGGGAAGGAAACAGAGGGGGCAGGGAAGGGAGGGGGGGCTCCCTAGTGTGTCAATGCTTGCTCTCGCTTGATTGCGTCATTCCACATGTGCGCCCATTCCTCGTCGGGCGATTGGTACTGCTGGGTTTCCACGACTAAATTCCTGTAGCTCGAGTGAAAGGTCAACGGAGACGCTTAAGCGCGGCGTGTCGGTGACAATCGACCGTGCCTCGACGACAATTGGCATGCCTGCTGTGATACGATGGTGCAACGAAGAGATACCTGGCAACTTATTGCCAATTCCATGAGCTGGCCCGAAAAATCCCGCCCTGCTGTGTGCTCACTGCTACCGTGACTGCGCACCAATGCGTTCGTTGCCACAAGCGTTATGGTAATCGTAGGCGGCGATTATCGCCCCCCCGCCGTCAGACGTGGCACCCAACAACAAAAAAAAAAATCCAAAGATAGTGAACAGTCGAGCGATATATTTAGCAACACGTCGAACTAATTAATCATACAATTCCCCGGGGAAGGCCAGGGGAAATAAGATGAGCAAGACAACTCAAGAAAAGCCTCAAGACGGCCTCTTCGGAGGCAAGGTCTCCCATCAACCGTCTAAATACCTACAAGACCTTATAAGAATCCGATTGGGACCTTATGGGATTCATGTAGCAAGCCTCTGTGGCTCTGGTTGGGGTCCGATTGGGGTCTTGCTGGGATCCTATTCGGATAGTGGGATCCGGTGCTGAGAAGTTCTGGGGCGGGATATCACTTGCAGGGGCGAGAAGCAACATAACATCGAAACAAGAAGTGGGGCGATAATCGCAACGCCAGATTAGATGTAACAACTCTCATGATGTAGATTGTCTCTCCCAAGAGGACACAGAACGCGAGATGTAACAAACTCTTAAAATGCACGGCAACGGCAAAGATGACATCCGCAAACGGGACGTGCCGTGCGTGATGGAAGCGATTCTCAGCAAAACTGCGTCTGACTACGCACTGATCGGCCCGAGTCCTCTCACCTACAGGTCCTCTGAACCAGGCGGCTGAACGTCTTCGCACTGTCCACGTTCGCATCCACTCGGAGCTGCCAAAGGTATTCCTGGCCTGAGATGTGCCCACCTCTTCACTTCACTTTACAGCTCCTGGGGCGCGAGGAGTGCTCTGGAGGCCTTGGGGGGCTCCCTGAAGGCTTGGGTTAGTGCCAGCAGATAAGAGAAGGGGGGAGTAGAAGGGAGGAGAGGGGAGAGGAGACGAGGCAAGGGAAAACAGGGATGGAGAAAAAGAGGAAGACACCAACCAAGCCTGGTAAGTACTTCAGTCACAGTGCTGCAAGATACTGAAGCAAGAACACGGATGGCGATCCAAGCGCAGGACCATTGGAGGCCTCTGACCTTCGAACACACATTTACATATTGACCATGTTTACGAATTCGACTTCAAACCACCCCGAGAGGGCCCCACGTGCTTGTGGGCACTTGGCTTGATATACGACTATCTGCTTTGAACTCGTCCCATGCACTCAGGTCCTGGCCACCCTCCGAGAAACATTCCAAGGTACTTTCGCCACAAAAGACTACGCAACATGGCAAGTTCTTGGTGCAGCCAAGCCGACATGTGCTGACACATGCAGTGTATAATAGAAGCACAAATATCTCGAAAATGACACCGCAAGACTCGAGTCGACCTGCATGCGCGGCAGACCCGACGTGACGAGGTTGAGCAAGCTTGCATCCACTGAGGGACTGACCCCCCCTGGAAGAACTCGGCGAGCACGTCCATCGGAGGCAAGCCCCTGTCAAAGAACGCGCTGCACGTCCAGGGTAAGATCGCCACGCTCGCGCACAGCATCATCAACTGCACTCGGAAAGACAAGATCCAGTAGTTCTCGCCCTTGCTCGGGGCACCATCGGAATGGCATGAGAAGATTCACATCTGAGCAGAGGCACCGAGAGAAATGTACAACGAATTAACTAACCTTAGACGGTCCAAAAATATATCAGGATGGCATGACACTGCCATAGCAATGTATCCAACCAACTTAGCCAGTACCCGACATGGGGGACCCTGGTAAACAGATGCATACTTACGCGGCACGATCAAACATGTTATCGCGTGTCTGTGGGGGAGGGGTCTGCTAGTAGCATGACGGCAGCGCCTAGGAAAAATGAGCGGAACGAGCCCCACGAGTAAAAGTTACTGCCCAGGTCATCCAAGCCTCCCCTCTGGGTCCTACTGTCGGGTATGGTCTGCAACGGTCGGCTTGGGGTGCTCAACGATCATTGGGGGCTCGCACCCGCTTGGGGACAAGCCCTCCGACTCCAGGACGGAGACCATCGACGCCCACTGTCCTGGGTACCGAAGCGTGCCTCATAAAGCGAGGCGGCCTCTTCTCCCTCTTCCTCTTCTCTCTCCTGCTCTCCCCTGTCCTCGAGGGGTTCCACCTGCTCCTCCTCGACCTCCGTCTCCTCCTCTGCGCCACAGCCTCCATCGTCGTAAAGGAAGAGAGCATTTTATTCGCGGCGATGACGGGCGGTATGGGGTGGGTGGGTGGGGCGGGGGGGGGCATAAAACTTACGACCCCCCTTGCCGTCCAAGTCCGGCACGACAGACTGTGGTACCGGACGCACTGTGGCACTGCTGGGGACGCACTGGGATGGGGGGAGCGTTACGTTATGGGGGGAGGGGGGGAGGCGAGGGGGGGGCATAACGCGCGCTATGGCGCAAAGGGTACTGCAACACTCTCAAAGCTAGCTAGCTCAGCCGCTCAGGGCCCACTCGGCAAGCCGAATGTCGACCCGCTGATGGCCCACGCGCGGTCGTGCCGCACCCTGCCCACCCTGCACAGATCCGTCCCGATCCCCGTCACGGCGCCCACCCCTTCAGCATCGGGCACCGCATCGGATCAACATGAGCCCACTCTGGCGGAAGCGAAATACGCATAAGCATACACTGTTGGAGGTTCACGCGGACTTCTCGGATCGGCGGTGGACACCCCCTCCCTGGCGCGGCTTGCAGCCCCGATCCAAGAACTCCGCGCAGAGCTTCGAGTGTTCATGCTTATGCCATTCTTCCTTCCCCGACCCATGGCAGCTGTGAGCCCGCGAAAGTGAGCCGACATGATCGAACATTATTTTGCCGACGCGCCGTCATGAGCATGGCTTCTGGACGAGACTGGGCTCTCAGATCCCCCCCGCGGCGCGCGGAACTCCTTCTTGAAGTCCCTCTCGGAAAGCACCGCGCCCATGGAGGAGAGGGTGGCCTTCAAGAGGGCCAACAAGGCCCCCTGCACCTCGAAGTCCGACATCACCGAGTTCGCCGCCATGCCGGCGCTGGCAGGACCCGTGAGCATTATCTTGGCGACGAGCGAGGGGTGGAAGTGAGAAGGAGAAGGCCTTCTCAGAAGGCTCGGAAGTCCCACGGCCTTCTGAGAAGTTGTCTGGGCCTTCCCTGAAGATACAAAAAACTTCTGAGATGGCGCGAGGGCTTCTGAGAAGTCCCGCCGCCTTCTGAGAAGGCCTTCTCCTTCTCATTTCCCCCCTTCGCTCGCCGCCGAGTATCGAGTCTGGAGAGCAAATCGAAGCGGAAAAGGCGCTGGATCGGGCCGCGTCGGCTCGGAATCGGGATCGAGTCGGCTCGGCTGCACCAGGCTGCACTACGGCGCCATGAAAGCATCAAGCCGCATCGGATTGTGGGGACGGCGGGGTGGAAATGGATCGGGCCTTCCTGGAATCGATACCGAAGCGGATCGACTGGGCAGCCTCTTTACAATCACTGGAGAGGGTCGACTGTGTGATAGAGAGAGCGCGTGGCTAACTCTCACAAGCCCGCAGGGGGTGGTCTGTCTGCCAGGCAGGACCTCCACCGCTGCCGAGGACGGCTACTCTTAGTAGGGGGGAGCCAGGTAGCAAAATTGAAAGAGCATCCTGATGTCCGTGGAGGCCGCCGCGGCGCACGAGATGACGATCAGGCGGGGCCAGTCCGCCGCCCCTTGACTCGGGAGCATGAACTTGCTCAGCAACGCGGTCCTTAGTCAGGTGGGAACCTTAGGGGGGATAGGCTCAGGGGGGACCATCGACCTGGAATCGGCGATACATCGCCGACTGATCGGCGATAGGCCAACGATAGCTAATCAGCTCGGTCCTGGGCGGTGTGGGATAAAATGCCCATATCAATTATGAGTGGGCGACTGGGGGTCGATGCGTTCCCCTAAACCTACCCCCTACCGTTGCCCCTGATCAGTACGGCTCTTTAGCTCCGTCCGACGACCGCCCACATGACTAGGAGTCGAACAGCGCGACCAGGCCTCCTACGCACACAAGACACCGAGCCTCCTACGCACACAAGACACCCAGCCTCCTGCGGATTCCGAGTCCTGCAAACTCCAGGCCTCCTGCAGCTCCTAGTTCCATGGTAGAAGCCCGAGGTCGAGAGGAGAGGAGGAGGGGGGAGGAGGAGGAGGAGGAGGAGGAGGAGGAGGAGGAGGAGGAGGAGAAGGAGGAAGAGGAGGAGGAAGAGGAAAAGGAGGAGGAGGAGCCCAAATCGACCCTCGCAGCAGGCACCCCCCGGGTTACTCTGCTGGCCGAAGCGTGGCACCACGAGCCTTCTCACCGAAGCGCCCCGACCCGCGGAGAATCCCGCAGGTGGAGAGCACCCCGAGGCAGAAAGCCCACGCATGCAGAACAGGACGCCACCCCAGAGCCAGAATTTATCCGATAGAGGCCTCCCGAATGAGGTCCAAGCGAATGGAGTCGGAGGATCACGCCGCATCGCCGACGCATCGCCGATGCATCGCCGACGCATCGGTGATGCTTCGGCGACGTCGGCGATACATCGGCGAAGTCGGCGTGGAGAAACCTGGGCGCCACATCGAGCCGCGGTACCGATGCATCGGCGATGAGGTGCGATCCTCCCACCCAATATACTCGAACCCCATGTCGTGTCTAATGTTGTCCAAAACCGACAGCGGCTGCTGATGGGCAGGCGACACATTGTCTCGAATGGGCACCGACAGCGAACCCAGTTTGACCGAACAGAAGCTGCTGCCTGTCTTCGTCCCCGTTCTAAGATACATCCATTTCGATCGTACCAATCCCGACCCATGTGCCAACTGCAGCAACGAAAACAAAACACCGAAGACCCCATTCGTCTGTCGACGGGGCCCCCAATCGTGCAGCGGGTGCGCGGGCGCAAGGTTCACACACCGCGCCGCGAGCCCGAGCGGCCAAAGCTCGGCAGCAGCACGATCCACAAATTCGGATGCCGTCGATTGCCACCTTCTTGGCCGATCGTGGGCCCAAAATCGCCTCGTGTGCCTCCTCCGCCGAGCCAGGAGGGCGTATACTCCGACACCAGGCCCAAGGTCAGCCTGGCCAGGATCGATGCTGGTGTAAGTGACGACCTCAGACAAAAAATGCCGACGCGAGGCACAACAACTCCATTCCCAAATATCTGCGGCCAGCCCAGGAGGGAAATGAGAGGGGGCGGGCATTCTCAGAAGGCTCGGAAGTCCCCGGCCTTCTGAGAAGTGTTCGAAACCTATTTCTTAAAAGGCCAGAGGGTTTCCGAGAAACCCCGCCGCTTCTTGAGAAGGCCGCCTCCTGCTCACTTGCCCACTGCATCGCCGCCGAAATGAAGCAGAGCATAAAGAGAGTTGCGGCTCGACACCTGCGAACCGGGCGTGGGGGTGGAATGTCGTAAGAAACGCACGGCTGGTACGCGTCAACACCAAATTTGGGGAACGTTGCTCCGATGCTTGCGGGTTGGGCCGGGTAGAGATGGGCGCGGCCGCATCGAGCACGGAAGGCGTAGGGAAGTCAAGCAACTCGATGCACACAGTCAGGGCAGATAATATATGGGCCCCTGTATACCAACGATGCGATAAAATGCAAAAAAAACGAAAAATCACGACCATAACCCCAATTTTTCTGCGGAATTTGTCGAGCCCGATCGATCAGTGATACCCCTGGGGTGCGAAACCTGACGAACATGCCAGGTGTGAAAGAAAACAACGACAGGATCTCAGGGGAGCGACGGTACATGGGAGTGCCTCGCCAGCGAAGAAACGCTGCATCGACGTCCCCGACCCGATAGCATGAAAACGGGGAGAAGGCGCTGCCGAGGCCGAGCGAGGGGCCGGAGGTGGGGCCGACCCGCGATGGCGCACTGAGGGGGGGACAGGAGCAGCTTGCTTTGCCCCATCACCAGCACCACGGGCGCCGATGCCGAGTTGCACGCAACGGTCTGCAGGAAATCCCCGAGGCCGTACAACAAGCCGACGGGCGCAATTCGCATCAGGCTTTTTCGGTCCAGGAGCCTGGCAGGCGACTCTCTGAAATCAAAGAACACGAGGTGCACATAGTGTGTATAGGTGTATCTACGCATATTATAATTCATTTGCTATGTACCCATCGAGTGTTGCGCGCAGCGTATCAATTCAGGCGAAAAGGGACAAACTATGCGGGGAAAGCTATACAGAGGACGCGCTACAGGGAAAACGAAGAGATCTATACAAGAAAAAGCGAAGGCAACTGGCATGGCCGGGCGCGTGCCGCCATACTGCTGCTAATGACTGGGGCGGGCGACGGTTGCGCCATCACCCGGGCGAGTTGGGCCCTTCGTCTAAGAATGGGAATGCCGCGCGCGCTGGGCCTCGCGATGGAACCCTCGATCCTTCAAGTCGAGCCCCTCGACGACAGAATCTGGAAGTGGTGGGAAACGCTTGCGGTTTGTCCGAATGTCGTTCCAGCACTTGGGCCGGCGCGAATCCCGCAGATGTGACAGGAGACGGAGGCGGCTCCCAAACGAAGTGCCGCAAGCGAACCGAGTTGCATCAGCTGGCGCCCAAAATCGTCGCAAGCATTTTTGGCCACGCTTGATGCGATATGCTGACTCAGCGCGTTCGCAGCCGCTAGACGGCTGTCACAATTCGTGCAAACGTGCGGGCGCGTGCCGCCAGCCGCGGACGCTGGCGCGGCAACGGGGGCGTCGCAACCTGAGTCAACGAAGTGAAGAACGGTCACAGCGCTGGACCAACGTCCGGGGGAGGCCAAAATAAACTCAATCCACGTCGACGCGCCCGCCGCGGGGCCAGGGAGGTGCGAGCGTAGAGCGACCAGGTCACGTGGCTTCAACGTGTCCGTGGACAGCAACTGTGCCCAAGGCAACGCTCGATCATTGGGGCGCGTGCTTGGCGATCTTTGGCAACGGTCGATTTTGGCAACGGCGCGTCTGCGGTACCTTGGCCGCCTGCTGCGGTCGCGGCCGTCGGCCCTGCTGGCGACGCTGAGCACGCGTCCCCAAATCGTATACAGACATACCCTTTAACGCCCTTCGCGGGGGTAGAAACCAACTGGGTGCAGTTTACTCCGTGCACCGTCGTGTTGTCTCCTCCTCCACTCGTGTTCTTGCGCCAGACGCCCACCCCTGAGGCTCTCGGAAGTTCCCACAAGGCTCGCAAGTGGTCAGAAACATGCCACGAACATCGAAGACTAAGTTATTCGAGGTTTCGTCGTCGACTCCGTTCCCAGAGCCCCGACGTGGTGTCAGTTCATCGTGTCGGCGCCCTTGTTGTCGTGAAATTATCCTCGGAGGGCCTCTTTGTGACGCTCCCGACAGAGGGGAGGAGGGAGGAGGACGGATGGGGAGGAGGCGGATATCGCGCACGGCGCTATCGGAGCCATCGAGGCCACGGATGAGGCAGGAGGAGGAAGAGGAAGAGGAGGAGGAGGAACAAGAGGAGGAGGCGGCGGAGGAGGATGAGGAGGAGAAAGAGGAGGAGAAAGAGGGGAGGACGGACTTGAAGCAGGACGGATGAAGAGAAGGATGACGACGACGAGCAGGAGGAGAGGGAATGACGCCTTGGCTTTCCTAGAGCGAGCTGGGGGTCCTGTGGCCTGTTTGGGCTCTTCGGGGCCTCTTGGGGCCTCTTGGAGCCTCCTGGGCCCTCTGGGGCTCCCTGAATGTAATTTCAAAATGGGTCCTCTGGGGGGCTCTTGAGATCTCGTGGGCTCTCCCGGGGCCGCCATGGGCCATCTAAGAACTCTCGGGGGCGTAATGATGCAAACAATTTCACGCATGGGGGCCTTTCCGTTGAGAAAGGGGGCGCGGTGCAGAGTGGGTCCTCCTCGGGCCCTCCGGAGATCTCCTGAGCACTCCCGAGGCCGCCATGGGCCCTCCTGGAGCCTCTGGGGGCCTCTAAGAAGTCTCTCGCGGGGGCTGAAAAATGACGACAGTTTCACGGATGGGAGCCTTTCCGTTGAGAAGGGGAGCGCGGTGAAAGGTAATAAAATGACGACAGTGTCGCACTTGAGGCCCAATATCGTCCTTGGGCACCTCGGGCGCGAATCCCTCTCGCCCATAGCACGGTGCGATTTCCCCTCCCCCCGCTGTCCCGCCGGACCCCGGGAGGGTGATTTTCGTAGTTTTCGCTTGTACGAAACACCTCCCCCCCCTCTCGACGGTGACGGAGGGCAGGCGGCGGGGGTGGGCGGGTTGGCGGGTTGGCTGGGGTTGCGGGGTGGCTGGTTGGGCTGGTTGAGCAGGTTGAGTTGTTTGGGTGGCTGGTTGGTTGGGCTGGCTAGGGCAATTGGTTTCGATATGTATATCCGCCACCGTGCCCTTCAGGCACGAGTCGGAGTGTCCCCAGGTCCTTGGCCCAGCCCCTTAACCCTCAATCCTCCATCCTGAAACTTCTCTGAGAGGCCCCGACTCCAAATTCACAAATCGGCCGGGGCTTCCCGCATCTTCTCACGCGACTTTTTCGGGCCCAACGAGGGCCCCAAGACGAGAGGGCTCCGAATCGCCGCACGATCGGTCCAAGACGCCCAAGATGGCCCCAAGACTGTCCACATATCATGTGAGGCGCCCCAAGAGAGCCCCAATAACCTTCCAAAGAGGGCCCCGAGAGGCCAAAATTATTGATGTTCCTTAGGTTTACCTTTTTGGGGTCCTCGAGATTTCAAACTTCCGAGGCTCAAAGACGGCCGAAGAAGCCCCCAAGGCCGCCCCAAGACGGCCCAAGAGGCCCCGAAGAAGGCCCCAAGAAGGCCTAAAGACGGCCCAGGAGGGCTCCCAGACGGCCCTAGAGGCGCCCAAGTCGCCCCAAGACGGCCCAACGACAGCCCCACGAAGGGCCCAGAGGGAGAACACGAACCGCAAATCCGAGCCTTATGCCCCAAGTAGTCGTGGGAGGCCACAAGGAGGCCACAAGGCCACCAAGAGGCCCCGAGAGAACCCAAGAAGCCCACAAAATGCCCTAAGAATCCTCAACACGGCCCCCAAGAAGCTTCCCGCAAAGTCCCAACGAACATCCTCGAGGCATATGACCCACAATCCAAGCACGGTGGGGCGGGATGGGCCGACAGCCATTATATATATAGCATTAAATATACGATAGCTACACACATAAATCAAGTCATACGCGCCTCTCCCAGGAAAGAAGGCTCAAATCCTCTCATGGATGTCGCCGCTGTGCGAGGTTTGCTTTTGCTGGGAGGGGGTTAATGTCATTATTCGCGGGAGTTCCTCAGATTCGGAAATTTGGCTGTACCACTCGTGCAGACCGCGAGTTCCCAGTCCGAACCAACCCATGCTCGCTCAACATTATTGCTCAAACTGTTCAAGGACACAATGGTTTCAACGAGCTGACCCAAGCTTGCTAGAACGGCCGAGGCATTTCAAGTATTCTGATGTTGCCGACTCTGTTCTTAGTTGCAGGGTGCCGCCGTGTCCAAAACCACGTGGTCAAGGCATGCTTGATGAATGCAACTGTAGATCGTATTACTTGACACCTTAGTGCTGGGGCATGTTTGCCTAACACATTCGCTGAACCGATTCGCAACCCACATTGGTGACCGAATGAAAATGCGAGCCACATACCGATGTCCTCATCTTTCGAACATGCGCACAACCATTGTCCCATGTGTCTAACATGTTCCTCACTCTCTTGCTTGCACCCCTGTGTCCAACATGTGTGAGCCTAGGGAACGCACGTGCTTCTTGTTCATGCGTCTATGTTAATACACAAATGAGAAATAGTTCACGTGCGGTGAAGCCGTAAAATAAGGCCGCACGATAAGGATGCAAGGGCCTTGGAGGGCCATTCCGCCAACTTGCGAGCGGGGCGCGGCCAACGAAAGCGGCCAAGGATGGGCCGAAGGGGAGGGATGCAAGGGTAACCTTGGGACGTCGTCATCCTTACTATGCGGGCTGACTGTATAGGCAACAGTGCACATATACGCGTGCGAAACGTAACCTAAACTTCAATTGCGGACAAGATACGGGGGGGGCGCCCACGCTGCCCTGCCGGGGCTGCGGATCCCGAACGCAAATGCAAAGACGCCCGAGGCGGAAGCAAATTTCTTTCACGCAAGCACTGACTTACAAAATACTTATAAGAAGGGGCCAAGGGACACACACACACACACATACATACATCTATCGATGTACGTATGTCTACATGTGTATGTATATATGAATATATATACATATATATATATGTATATATATATACACATCTATATATACACACACCAAAATCCCAGGACCCCCCTTATGCTTTCATAGTTTCTGGAGGTTCGTCTTCCCCCCTCAATTCCCACATGTTCCTATGTTGTCCTAGGGATCGGCGATACTTTGTCTGTGTTTCCCCCCTCCTGAATACAGGCTGCCGTAAGCTGCGAATGCAGAACAAACGTTGTGGGTGGACCGCGAGTGTGGGTCGTAAGCGTCCTAAGACAGCCTGAAAAAGCTCCTAGACGGCCCACAAGGCCTCCAAATCAACCCAAACTCCCGGGAGGCGCCGAAGACTGCTCCCGACGGCACGAGGAAGGCCTGAGAGAGACCGTAAGGCAGACCAAAAGGGCCCCAATACGTTCCCATAAAGAACCCACGACAACCCCAAGGTGGCCCCATGAAAGTTCCTCACGCGTTACGGCCTCCTGTGCGGTGCTCGAAGCGTCACCAAACAGAGTACTGCGCTGACACGGTGGCGAAATGCCGCAATTAACTGGAGAACAAATGGGCGTGGCGACCCATCCCTCATCCTCCCCTTCCTACTCCGTCCTCTCTCTCCCCCATCCCTGCCATTCACCTGTTCTATCACGATAGCAGGAGCCTCCACACCAGGATATGCTGTATAATCTCACCAATGCCTGGAGCAAATGGGAACGCCGTGCTGCTTGCTTTGCGCTAGGTTGCTTGTGTCATGCCATCCGCAGAAGGGCCTGGCATGATTTAAGTGTGTTAGAGCTGATGTATACTGTATACAGGCAATACAGCACGGGCTTGTGGCATACTATACTTCAAAAACTCTCGACTTCGGGTCGACCCTGCCGCCTTCTATCGGTCCCCTGGGCCGCGAATGCGATCTCACGCGCTCTTTTGGAGGCACGCATCTTCAACCGTAACAATCACAACAAAAGACAACTGCTCGCGGCCCCTCCCACCACACCCAGGGCGAAGGCCAAATAGTAGCCGCACCACCGAAGAAACGAGACCGACCCGACCCGTGGGGGGGCGGAGGGGCGGGCCGGGGGCAAGGCAAATTTGGTTAAATCCACTTGCAGCCTCTTCCATGCAGGCGCGCCCATGACCGCCAAAACCATGCAACACGATATCATCACCGCGAGGAACTGGGAGGCAACCGTTAATGTTGCCGGATGGAATGGCATACCTGGCAGGATCAAAGTGTACGGGCTGGACTAGGAGGGACACATACCCCTACCCTACATGAAAGCCATTGACAAACTTTCTGGAGTCCTGAGACTGAAGGGCCACAAGCTAAAAGCACGCGTGCCAAACTTGACCGGCCTCTGGGTCCTCCCCGTCCTGCCCGAGGGTAGCGTGACACGCCCTCGACTCAGCAGCTCAGGCCCCCCCGCACGATTCGAGGCCAATGCCCCCCAGACATTTACCACCCCAAAGGCCAAGCGAAGGCGCTGAGGCATGTTCGAATGACGGAAAAGGGTCCCATATAGCAACAACATATACAAAAACACACACTATCGTTCGAGTGTTGTTGCACGTTTGCTTACTGTGGTTTTCGGCACGAGGTGTCGCTTGGATTGCCTCAGAGATCCCCAACACGGACAAATCTAGCCCGACCTGCAATCAGTTGCAATTGCCATAGACCGCTGCGCTCGGCCCAAGGTGGTGATTCTCACAATGTAACATGTTCAACAACAGTAGCTACACCGAGGCCTGTCCTTGCGAAACACAATGCGGTGCAAAACCAACAATGAGTCGCTGTCGCAACGCTTGCACTGACCTAACGAAATCACGCCAGTCCTCCGGTCACGAGACTCGACATTCCTCTGCCGAAACCCCTCTTCCCTTCGGGGAGGGCTTTCGCCCTGTAACCCTGAGTTTTTGTAGGGTCTCCCCGCGATGTGTCAGGAGGTCTGTTTTCGACCAATCTGGCTCCAAGAGGGCCTCCGATGCTCCAAGATGGCCTCCAAGACTCAATATAGCCAAAGATGTATCAAAATAGCTTTCGACAAGTGCTCTCAGAGCCCACATCAGGACCTTCGATCAGGCCCAAACGAACACCAAAGGAGCATCCATGTTGTTCGCTTGGTTCTCTTTTCGCGTCCGATGAGCTGTTAAGGCCTGAAGATGACCCAAGAGAGCCCGCGGAGAGGCCCAAGAGGCCCTCAAGATGGCCATAAGACCGCCTCAAAGCGCCCCAAGAGGGTCCCAATCAATAATGCCCGGAGAGGCGATGTTCAGGCATGCGGGAACTCCGTTCTCCTGATCGACGGAAGGCCTCCAAAAACGGCCCCAAGAGGCCTCAGGGCTCCCAAGATGCCCCCGCGGAGGGTCCAAGAGAGCTCCCCCCCCCTCCCAAGAGAGCCCAAGCAGAAGACTCCAAGACCCTCCAAAATAGCCCCAAGAGGGCTCCAAGAGGGCCGCAAGAGAGTCCCAAGAGGACCGCAAGAGGGCCTCGAATAGACCACAGGGCGGCTGCAGGAGTCGTCGTCCTCTTCACCCTCCCACTCCTCCACGTGTTCGTCCTCTTCCTACTCGCCCTCGACTTCCTCCTCGTCCTCCTCCTCCTCCTCCTCGTCCTCGTCCTCCTCCTCGTTTTCGTTCTCGTCTTGGGTCTGATCAGGCTGATGCAAGCCTTGGTCCACTGTATGCGTCTACACTGCCCTGATCAAGGCAACTTGCCTGGGCATCGTTTCTGGATGGGCTGGTGGGGCTACGCGAAGCGTCAAGGATCGGTAAACGAGAGGGAAGCCGGCACAACACACTCTCCCCCCAATTGATGGATGTACTTAGGACTGCTGAAATCATTGCAAATACAGCATTCTGCCCATCTAGCCGTGTGATGAGAGGGAAACTGACGTCGGACGATGTCTCTCCAAGTCCGCGGCATTGCGACCCGTCGCTCATGCGACAACGATGAGCTGGCAAGGTGACAGTAACTCGTCGACGCCTGACGTCTGTTGACGGTGCACCCATGTGCACCAGTGCTTTTGCGTCGCCGCGCTGCGCGGCACGATCTGGAATGCCAGACACGATCCGATGGTCTGCTCTGGGCCAGATGCGGGGCGGCACACGGATCCCCATCCGCAGAGCACCCTCGGTGAAGACGGCCTGGGGGCCAAGTCCGCGGGCGCAGACCCGCAGAACATGGTAACAAAATCGCCCCCTCGACCCGCAAGAGATGGCCCCACGGGGGGACTCACAAATCGACTTCCCCGAGACTCTGCGTTGCGAACAACATGCAACATTGCGAAGCATCACGACCGGAACCCCAAACCCCCTGCAAGGTTCGGGGGGCCCAGATACCGAAACCGGGCGAAAATACCTGGCGTGAAGAATTTGCAGCACCCGGATCTCCAGGTTGGCAGGATGGGGGCTCCACCAATCCACGACGCCGAGTCTAACATGGGAGAAACGGGTCACGAGGGAAACGGGTCCTAGACCTGGGGCCTTCCCTCAGGACCAATCCTTCATCCTGACAGGCCTGGGGCCCGTGGAGGGCCCCAGCAAGCCAAAGACGGCGAAAAACCTCAGGACGCGTCGCTATCAGGACCCACTTCCTCCCTGGCGACGATGAAGATGCCTTGGGTAACCGAGATAGGTCTTTAGAGCCCTCCCCCCTTCATAGGAGAAACTAATTATCCTTTCGACGCCCTTATTGACGGACTGGGGTACCACTCATAGCGGAAGATAATTATTGATCCGCGGCAACCGCCGCGCCACAACGACGACGAGGTGGAGCCGGAGGAGGAGAAGGAAAAAGAAATTGAGGAGGGGTGAGGGGGCGGAGGAGGAGGAGGAGCAGAAGCAAGAGGAGGATCGGCTGAGTTCATTCCCGGCCGAAAGAAGCGGGGGTGGGTCCCCAAAACTACTGAAAACCCGCTGAGGGTACCGCTCCGCACGATCAGGTCGTCCCAGCATTCCGATAGGCCTACCACCATATGCTCTTAGAACATAAACATAGTATGATAAAACATGTCATGATAGCATACAACCAATGTGTTACAATGAATCAATCTTGACCAACACGTTTTAAGACCATTCCGTGCAAAGCACAACAGGTTATCATAACATCCTTTGGTGGGCCCATACTTCAAGCCAGGACGCGTCGCCACTACTCGAAAAGATGCCCTGGGTACCCCTCCGCACGATCAGGTCGTCGCTGTCAAGGTAGGAGTCCGTGGTGCAGAGCACCGGCTCGTCCTCGCTCGGGTCCCTCTTCGGGGAGACGTGAGACTCGGGCCCGGGGGACTCGGGTTGGCCTGACGGGGCCATCATGAAAATGACGAGACCCAGCCCGAAACTTGACGCGAGCTTAGGCAAACCCAAATTCCGACGTACTCGAGTCTTACGTTTCCCCGACCTCTGGCAGGTGAAGACCTTGCCGCTTTTCGAAGCCTCCGTCGCCAATGGGTGCAGCACGCCCACCGAGACGCAGACGCACGACGCAAGGACCTCCTTCCACAAGCCGCGCCTGCGGAAAGCCAGCCATCGGAGATCAACTGACCCGGGTCAACGCAAACCCAGGTCAGTCAAACATTGCCAGATCCTGCAAGATCCTGCAGGATCCTGCAGGATTCTGCAAGATCCTGCGCGCAAGCCCAGATCAGAACACACCCCTGGCTCTGCAGGATTCTGCAAGCTGTGGCGATCTGGCTGACCCCTGTTTGCATTGACCCCAGTCTCGAGGCTCCCGAAGCCTTTCCTCCTCGCCTCGCCTAGCGTCGCGCGATCATCGAAGAAGAAAGGAAAGACATGAGCATGAACTTTCGGACCTCCGTGCGAATTTTCTAGGATCCTGGAAGAGACTGATCCTGAAATTCGCATCAGCTTTTGGCTTCCCGCGGCCCTCCAAAAGCCCCAGGAATGTCAGGGAACGGCTCAGGATGACGAGCTGGTCTCGGAGGAAGGCCCTGGGGTCCAGGACATGTTTCCCTCGGGACCCGTTTCGTTCATACTAGTTCTCCCGCTCTCGTCCGACTTCGAGCGAGCATCGAAGAAGATAGCACGGCATAAACAGAAACTTTCGAAACTCTGCGCGGAATTCTTGGGGTCGGCGCTGAAACCCACTTGGCGGAGCATCCGCCGCCGCGGCTGGCGGGCTCCGCGCGCCAGGGAGGGTGGTCCAGAGCAGATCGCAGAATTCTGCGCGGACCGCCGAAAATTAACGTGTGTGCAGTCTTTCAGTTTTGAAACACCAAACCAGCCTTTCGAACCGTCGTGGCGCCCGACTTTGCGCGACTGGCTCTGCGCGCTCGCGCCGCCCCCAGTGGAGTGGGCGGCGCCAGCTGGCCACATGGCCGGCCCGAGCCTGGGCCAAAGGTCGGTGGTACGACGCACTCCCTGGACTGCCGGGGAGGGCGATCCTGGGCCCGAGATGGGGCCGGGCTAGGATCGGTGAGGTGGCCAGCCGACGTCGCCCGACACTTGAGCCGCCCGAGTTCGGGGGCGCGCAAAAATGGATTAGCGATCCATGGATTTGGCGCGCGGTCGCCGAATCCATGGATCGGGGGAAATGCCCTCCCCAAAATGCGGCCGGTGCCGCCTCGTTCGGCGCCGGAAATCGGCGATTTCCAATGGAAACGTGACCCATCGCTAATCCACGCCCCTTGATCCATGATTGCGATCGCCTGACGAGTGGAGAAAGGCCAGGTCTCTTCCGCAGCCCGCCAGCGCAGTCACATCTCCACGCCAGCGCGGTGGTGCACCCTAAGGTCCGCGTTCTTCCCTGTCCTCCTATCTTCCCTGCTGTCACTTGTTCCTCCTCGCCGTCGTCGTCCTCCTCCTCCACCTCCTCCTGGCCACTTTCCGCGCAGGAGCGTTTTCGAGCAACTCTGTCAGTTTAGGGGTGTTCGAATAATGTGTTAGATGTCTGATTTGGCACAGCTCAGTTCACGTGTGGATCATGTGCTCCCAATGGCGCTAAGGGCTAAGGTCTGACCACCGTACCCCTTTCCCTTTCCCGCTCCTCGCCATCTCATTCCGATCCTCCCCCGATGAAGCTCTCTAGCCGACCCCCCTGACGATGCCGATCCTCTCCCCTGCATCTGGCCTCTGGAGCAGGCGCGGCAAGCGCAAGGGCGACTTGACGCGTGGGGGCTGCAGCGGGGCGACCTCTTCCAAGTTCTGGTGGATGGGCTTGTCCCTGCGATTGTTCACCAGGGATTGCGTTCGTGATGGTGGCTTCCAGGAAATCGCCACCATCGCGCACAACCAAAATGGCTCAGTCTGCGCACCCTTGAACAACGCATGCTGGTGGCGATCGAGGTGGCAACGATGGCGGCAATGGCGAAGACAACGACGCTTTAGCACGACCCGCAGTTGTAGCATTGCGCGGATCGCAACGACGCTTGATCTGCATGCGGACGAAACCCCATCTGAGTCAGCACGAGAGGCGCTGAGCTTACCATGCTATTGCGCAAGGAGCCTAGCCGTCTGCCTAGTAGGAGAGCATTCGGAAGAGACTGTCAACTACCATCTGTGTCAGAACGAATGGTGCCGAACGGCCATGCGTGGCCTCACGGGCGGACTTCGCAGTAGCACCAAGCACTAGCAAGGGCTGGCTCGCAGTCGTGTGGGGGCTGCGTTAGCACTGGGACGCTGGACTCCTGTGCGTCTGCTGCGCTCGATGCCTGCATATTCGGTGGTCCTCTCGTTCCTGGACAGGGCGGCACGGGATGGAATGGGACAGGGCTGAAACCTAAACGGTGTTGTCTCGTTTTCGTTGTTGCTTTCGCTTTCCCTCGTTTTGTCTTCAATCCGCCCTTCACGCAAAACGAGATCGAAACGAAAACGGCCCACGAAATCGCTAAAACATCGTTTAGGTCCACCCCTGGAATGGAATGGGGGGGACACGAGCACGAACGATTCGAGGAAAATCGTATGAAAATGGGGAAGGTGTAGGCGGAGGGGCCGCCGGGATGGGCCATTCCTGGATGGTGGACCCTGTGCAAACGTGCGCTCCGACTACGTAATTCGTGCATGTGTGCGCGGTTCGAAGACAAGTTTCCACACACACACACACTTCAAAAGGATGTGCAACAAAGCCAGTACGGAACTGAGAACGTGCTGCTCCGCTACAATCGTCGAAGCGTGACGTGAGCAATTCGCCGAAGGGCCGAGGCCACATGGACATACCCCCCCAAGATGGTAATCCAGGAAGCCTCGCCCAAACACGAATAACACATACGCCCCTCCAAAACTAGGGTTGCAACCCTCGCGCCAACTGTCTGTAGTCATGACCCCTCGTTGTCCCAAAACCGTCGTTCGACACCACTTATGCACCGATGGGTGGAGGTCGAACGTCCCGGCGTCGCATAACATGTAAAGACATGGCGTGCCATCTTCCAACACTCGAGTCTTCCGTGTCTTCTTCGTCCTCCGTCTCCTCCTCCTGCTCGCCCTCCGGGTTCACTTTCTCCTGTTCCCGTTCGTCCTTTTCCTCCTCCTCCACCTCCTCTTCCTCCTGTTCCTCTTCCTCTCCTCCCCCCTCCTCCTCCACCTCTTCATGTTTCTCCCCCCCATCATCCCCATCCCGCTTGTTCTCCTCATGCACCTCCCGTTCCGCCGGGCAGGGGAGCGCATGCCGATGTTCCTCGGCGCCCTCGCCGACGCGCCCGGCAGGGGCGCGCTACCCGATAACAGGATTGCAAAACCGTCGGGGCAACGGCCGTTGGGACAACCCCGCGAGCCGCTGGGACGCGAGAGGAAGCCGTTGGGACAACCCCGCAAACACCGAATTGGTCGCGGCCGCGTTCATGCGGGAGGCAACACGAAGTTCAGCTCTGCCGCGACCTGCTCCGCGTCAGCCCTGAAGTCCACCACTCTCTTGTTGAACTCCTCGAGCAACTTGTGCCTAGGGAGGGGGCTCCCGCCTGAGACTTCTTTGCAGCTCACTCGCACACGCGCTAGGAACGCCTCGTGAACGGTGATCAAATGCTATGCCAGGTGGACTTTGCCGACGACCCGTTCGGATTACCAACATGAAGTGCGGGCCCCTTCGGGAGGGGGCGCCCGCCTGAGAATTCCTGGAAATTCACTCACAAACGAAAGTCCAGCGCGAGACTTCCCCCATAGTCAATCCAAAGAAGCTGAAACAATAGCGACCATCACAGGGTTCGGATGACCCGGCCGGATTACTAAATTGAAGTGCGGACCACATACGGAGAGGGCACCCACCTGAGACTTCATTTCCCGCAACTCACTCACAGACGAAACTCCCGCCCAAGACTTCCCCCACATTCAAGCCATAGGAGCCGAACGGTGAGAACACCTACACGGTTCCGATGACCCGTTTGGGTTACCACGGGCCCTGAGGGAGGGGGATCTGGCCTGAGACCTCCTCACAATTCACCCACAGACGAAGCTCCCGCCTGAGACGTCCTCCGAATTCAAGCCCGAAGAGCCGAAACGTTTCGACCGTTACAAGGTTCCGATAACCCGCACGGGCTACTAACATAAAGCGCGGACCCCATCGAGAGGGGGCTACCGCCTGAGACTTCCTCATGATGAACTTACAAACGAAGCTCCCTCTTGGCCGATGATCAGATCACGATGGGATGGTGATAGTGATGGATGTGTGATAGAAGCGATGGTGATGGTGAGTGGTGGTGAACGGTGGGTGATAGATGCGGATGGTGAATAATGTTGGCGGGGTGGAAAAGAGGGCATGGTAGGGCGAGCGTGTGCTGATGATTATGCATGGGTGTACGCTGCTGATGATGATGGTGGTGCTGATGATGCTAATTTCAAGACCGAACCCATGGGGGGCGAGCGGATATCCCATCCAGCAGGAACCCTTAAGATCGGGCTACGCCCGAGCGTCAGTTCGCGATGCGCGGCCAAGCACCCTCGCGACTCTCAGCAGAGAAGAGCCAAGCTGCTGTCGCGGCGCACCCAGAAAAAGCAAAGCAACACTCATGTCAGCACCGCTCCACTGGGCAAAAGAATCCTGCGCGGCTCCGCGGCTCTAGAGCCGCGCCTGATCAATGCTGGAAAAGTGGGCTCCGAGGGGCCATGGGTCAGGGCAGAGCCCCTCGAAGCAGCTGACATCTTCGCGCGCTTGCCGCTCTCCAATCTTGCGCTCGAGGGGCGGCGGGCGTGGGGCGCTCCTCCTTCCACGTGGCCCCTGAGTTCAGACTGGAGCGTCAGCTCTCGAGCATTCGGAAGGGAAAAGGTGGAAACGAGGAGACAGCGCCTGCCGGGAAGCGAAATGTGGCGGGGCATTTCGCTGCGCAGGCCCATGGGCAACGAAATCTGGCGGGGCATCTTGCTGCGCAAGTTCGCAAGCAGGGTGGCTCGCGCTGCCGGGGGGAGAGGTGGATGGGGGGGGGGGGTGCTCGGAGGACGGAGGGGCGGAGGCTCAGGAGAGGAGGAATGGGGGGCTGGGAGGGACAACGTGGGAATCGGCAAAGAGAACGGAGGCTCAGGGATTGTCTTACTAGCGGCTGGGCTCAGGCTTCTCGCAAGCTGCTCAACTCGTCGTTTCCTATCCTCGGGCGCTTCAATCCTCTGCTGAGGATCGCCACGCACAGGGGTATTCACTCCTGCGTCATGTTCTCGAGCTCGTGCAGGCCAGTGTGCAGCGGCCTCTCCGCGTGCCCCAGCGGGGCGGCCCCCTGCTTGCAGCCCGCGCCTGCCTGCGCTGCTGGCGACGCGGGCGCGGGCTGGAAGTTGAGGCGCGACGTGCAGCTCAGGGCTAGCTTGACCTCGCCCTCCTCGCGGGCGTCCGTGATCTTCGCGAGCGGCGCCGCCTCGCCCATCTCTTGAGCATTGGCGGCGTTCTGCTGCTTGGCCAACTCCTCGAGCTGCCGCTGGTCGGCACGGCCCACCGCGTTGCCCTCTGCCACCAGACCCTCGAACACTCCTGCATGACAGGCGACCGATCTCGCGCCCGTCCCCTGGATATTCCTCTCCTCCTCCGCTTTGGGCAGGGGCGACCTGGCGTCCTCTGCTGCTTCGACCCAATCCTTGACTAGGGCCCTGGCCTTCACCGCCACCTGCGTCCCCGACGACATCAGGAAGGTCTTCAGCTCGATGGCGTCTGACCGTCGCTGATGTAGCGCAAGGTTGAGGAGCAGCCGCAGCAAAGCTGGGAAGAACTTCTGCATCTGCTTCACGTCCATCAGCTCGTCGTCGAGTTCGATGAGATCCACGATCTTCGCATCCATGTTCTTCTGCTGGCTGGCTCATTATGCGTCAATGTGCCGAAGACGCAGACCCGCGCGCCCCCTTGCCACCGCGCCCCGCGCGCGCCGACACGCGGGCGGGCCCGGCGCCCTCGAATGCCGCTGGAAGCGCCCTGCAGCCACGGCGCGAGGAGTCGGCTGGGGTAGGCGAACTGCCGCCAAGTGCAGCTGCAGGTCGGGCAGGGAGGCGCACTCGATCGCGCGCTCCGCGTCTGGACAAACAAACTGCTACGGTTCAACCACCAGGAAGTTTAGCGTTGATTTATGAGCTATACACCGCCCATGCCAATACGATGCTGTGATGCGATGTATCGCTGTTCTCCAGCATGCAAATGTTGAGGCGCAAGAGGGGCACTGGTTGGCACCCGTGTATGAAATGAACATGTTAAGCTGCCCGTGCACACCTCCTCCGCCGCGCGTCTGACGTGCCCGTGGCGCATGTGCAATCCGAAACCTTCTACCGCACTCTAGTCCCATCCCGCTGAGAAGAGAGCGCGTGCGCCCCCACTCGATGCACCCCAGGCCCTCGCATTGCCTGAGGGGGGTCACCGTCGGGGCATCAGGCCAGAGCTCTGATCATAAGTTGCATGTTGAACTTCAGGAATGGGCACTCAGCTCGGGGGCCTGGAGGGCCCTCAAGAAGTGGCGTCCTACCTCGTCCAGAGACCCGGGCCCGTCATCCAATCTCCCAGGATAATGCAAGTCATTCTTGAACTGCAGAGCCCAGTGGTTAGTCTTGCCCTGAGGGGCCACAGCGGGAGCGCACGCAAGGGCCCAAGAGAATTGTTGTAGCACCACATTCTCAGGAAAAAAACAACCTTCCCAAAGAGAGCGGCTATCTCCTGGGCATGGCGCTGGGGTCAGCGGACGAGAGCTTGCTGGGGGGAACGACCTTGATCCTGTTCCACGCGGCTTCCGCGCAGATCGTAGAGGCCTCCCACCCCTCTTCCTCGCCCCCTCGTTAAGCCGGCGGTAGATCGCGATCCCCTGGCGCGGAGAACTCGCGTAGCGCGCGGCGACAGAGTCTAGCTTCTTAGTCTGGTCTGAAGTGAGCACCCTCGCCTCGAGCCCCGAGGCCGCGGCGCCGATCGCCCGGCCCTGGAAGACGAGGCTCTTCCGATCAAAGAATGAGCAGACCTTCCAGAACTTGCCCATCCCCCTCCACCCCAAGCGCATGGCCGAGCATCTGGCATTGATTTCCTCATCGCTCCACCCCGACGCATGAGCCCGAGCTCCGAGGAACGCCGAGGTCGCCTGAACTTCTCCAGACGCGGGGGCATGATGATAGCGAAGGGCGCGAGAAAAACGTTGAGAGCCTCGACCAACAAAGCAAGGGCTGACCGCTTTGCCCCACGACTCTGAGCCGGACCCACATGAGCAAGGGCCTCGTCCAGGTGCCGACCCGAGGCCCCGACCGTCACCGCAGCGCTGCATGCATCAGGAACAATGCGCACAAGTCAGATCATCGGCGTTCTTGCGCACCCCCAAGTCGCAGGTCTTCTGCGCGATGGGGCAGCCAGCAATTAGTTCGCGCACGTCTGAAGTCGGGAAAAAGGCCCGCCTCCACTCTTTCGCGGGACGTTCGAAAGCGAGCCTGAACTTCGTCGCCGCGTCGGAGTCGCCCATGTGGCATTCCGCTCCATTCAGAAAAGTGCCGTCGCCATCGCGCGCATTCACCGCGCAGGCTGTGCGCCTGTGCCTGGGGAACATGACCTGCGCGTCCACTCGGCGGTGCATCTGGTAGACGGTCTGGCCCAAATGCTCGTGGCTCACACAGGCGAACGCCTTCGTCACGTCATGCTTGGCGGCCATGCGGCCCGCGCTCGCAGCTCCAAGTCGCCACTGCAAGACGTTGCCGGCCGCCAGAGCGCCCGCTCGAGACCTTCCATTGACGCAGCCGTGGTCCTCGCGCGGAGGCCCTAGATCACCTCGAAGTTGTCGCACCCCAACCCAAGCCTTGCCAAAGCTACAGAGTCCATGCAACAATCGCGTGCCACGAGTCCTCGGCTCGTTGTCCTTTTCGCTCACCTGATACTTTTGGGAGAGATCCCACCGCGCGTTGAGTCGCTGATGCTGTCGCACGCCTGCCAACTGAGCCAGCAGATGCTCTTGCAATACAGGGCCGAGTGCCTGCTGGCGCTCCCCTCGCGGTCGACGCCGCGCACGGCCCGGCATAAGTCGACGACGCCCTTCAGTAGGCGTGGACCGTTGTGGAGACGCTCGGCGCCCATGCTCCCGCGAGACCTTCTCAATCCGCATTCCCAGGTGATTATTCACTCCTTCCCAGTGCTCCATGTCTGGATAGAATGGGCAGTCGTGCTCGGCGGCCGTCCGACTTCAAGTGCCCGCCCCCCCCCCCCCCCCTCCAGGAAGGGCAAGGTCCTCCGTCCACGTCTGGAGGTCGGGCTGGGAGGCCTGGCAAAACATCGATATTTCGCCTCCGTGGTCGCAGGCCGTTGCCAGACATCTCAAATCACACTCGCCATGCAACATCTTCGCGGTGTGTGCGAAGCGCTGTGGCGAGTTGATCGGTGAGATCCGATTCGCGCTCAAGTCGAAGCTGCCTGCGCGCTGCTTTGCATTGCCACGTGCGCCGTTGAAGGCATCGCGAGCTCTCCAGTTCTCCGCCCAGGCGATCACGCGCAACAGCGCGAGCGAGAAAGGCGGCCGCCCTCCCGCGAGCAAGGCGCACATGCCAGTCGGGCCGCTCCTTTCGACTCGTAGCATATCGAGCCTGCGCACATTTCTGACCATCCAAGAAGATTCAAGCGCATGTGATCGCATCAATGAAGCCGCCTCGGTGTAACCGTCCTCCGCTAGCTTAGCGGTCAACGCCCGCCTCGACCTCTGCTCTGAACAACTCTGCCTCCTGTTCGTTCTTCAGCACCCGACGGAGAATGAATAAATCAAATCTAGGGCCGGCCTGACGAAGCGCCGAGGACGCGAGTTGGTAGTCAAGCTCCGCGGTAATGATCATGGGATCCAATACCGCAGCGCTCGGCACCGCCGGCGCCCGTCGTGCGAGGTTGCAGGCAATCGCACCAACCACGGCGCAGAAACCGCCAGGTGATCTATGTAGCTCGCGCTCTTATGACAATGGTACGTAGGGCCGCACGGGTAGAAGCTCGTGACCACCGCCAAACGGCTATCCTCAAACCGCTCGCGGTAGTTAGTCCCTGCAGTGTGCTCCAGGCTGCGAGAGAAGGGCCCAATGCTCGAGCTCATCACCTCCTGCAGCAAGCCCTCGCGCAACTGGATGCCCATGCCGTCGTTCAAGTCCGTCGACGCGACGATCGTGCTCCGATTCGGCGCGCCGTCCGTGATACCCGTCAGCGTCTCCATAAGCCAACGCACCGTCCTCTCATATCAGGGTATGCCTCTGGCCTCCGTGCACTGTGGGGGAAAGTAGCTCACGACCACTGTGAAATCGAAGTAAAACGATGTTACTCGGACTGCGCCGAGACGACCATGCATTGAACTCTGTACTGGCCAGAAATAATGAAGATGTGATCTGCGGAAACGTCGTCGGTTCAGCCAAATCAGCACTCCGCAACTTTTGTTGGACAGACTTCCTCTTCCAGTGCCCCAGCCGAACATCTCGTGGTACGTGGGGTGATCATTCTTCCTCTTGGCCGTCATGCCAGAGAGAAGCACGTTGTCCGCGAACTTCACCTGCTGGGCGACGTCCAATCTCCTGTCGTAGTCTGAATGAAACGTGGGGTTCCATTGCACTATTTTCATCCGGCGAGCCACGCATCGCGGTGCCGAGAAAACGTAGATGGCTGGCGAGAGCGAACGTGCCCTCATGCCCCCAGTACCTCGGGCCAGGGCTTACTGAGGATGTTAACTGTGATAACGATGATGGTGATGGTGATGGTGATGAGTGGAAGCGAGGGGGGGACGGTGTGAGGTGATCCTGCGCGGATGTGCGCAGAGTAAACAAGAAACCCATTTAAGATGTGGGGAACTAGAGGCTGTCGATACACGAAAAGGGAAACAGCCGGGGCTGTAACAGACTGCTAGGGCCTGGAACGTACCCGAAACAACCTGTACACGATTGCTGGGGCCGGAGAAACCTGCGAGACACTCCTCGGGGCTGGAGCGAAAGCAGAGAGAGTGGCCCCAGCCACTCTTCATAGCTTCCCTCGGAGGCCCGCATGTTGGCACCAACGTCAAGACAGGGAGGTGTCTCGATAACGAGAATCTCTGAGATCCAGTGGCTCTGGAGAATGGCTCGGACGCCGCGGCCGTCTCAGAGCGTTCCGGAACGCTCTGACATCGTTCCAGCAAGTCCTAGCCCCGTCCGAATGTCCCCACTGGGGGAAGATGGTCTTCGATGCTGTGCCAGTGGCAGTTTCCCAGCGACCCAGGGAGCCCGAACACTACCACCATCACCGAGGTCTGGGTCGTCTTCCCCCGGTGGAGGCAGCCCGCGGATGTTGGTGTCGGTGCCAACTTCTTGGCCTCCGATTCCCTGGAGCAAGAAAGCAACACATGATCATAAAGTATAAGCTTTCGGAAGTCCGCTCGGATCCCTTGGATCGGCCCTGATCCCCTCCAATAGCACGCAGTCACGCTGGCACTCCCGCATAAAACGTTACCACCGCCGAGTCCCCAGCCCGACTGCGGCCGCCCGCCCTTTCTGCAAAAAGCCCAGCTCCAGGATCGACACGAAGCCGTTCGGGGCGCCATCACAACTGTGCTGCTGAACTGGACAGTAGTCACCCTCCTTCTGAATCACGCCCCACACCTGCGGCCGACTGGAGGAGGAGGAGGAGGAGGAGGAGGAGGAGGAGGAGGACAAGAAGGAGGAGGACGACCACGACGGCGACGAGGGGGGGAGGAGGACGATACCCACGACAACGAGCTCGAGGAGGGAGGGGAAGAATGAGGACAAGCGACGACGAAACGACGACGAAGAACAAACATTCGCTAATTACACGCAAGAGCCAGTTGCCCGACCCGTGCAACAGTGACCTCTGCTGCGCGGCTTGCCATCGTCGCATGCGGTGCAACAGCAGCAACCTGCGCGCCTGAGCTCGGACCCACCGCGCCACTAAGGAACCGCGCACCTGAGGTCACTCTGGTGAAAACTCACTCCCACGTATACGGCAGGTTCGTTCCGTGCCGACATCGGCATTGGTTCCTGACACGGCGGGGTTGTTCAATCTTGAACGATATGCCGGTTCCGAAACGTCAGCTCTTTCAACATCGACCGATTCTGGGTCGCTGGCGGTTTTCACCGTTTGATGACGGCAGCGGTGTCGCCATTGGTCGAGACGACGCGAACCTGCCATAGTCGGTGGCGCGCAAACATGGATTAGCGATCCATGGATTTGGCGCGCGGTCGCCAAATCCATGGATCAGGGGCAATGCTCTCCCAAAAATGCGGCCGGTACCGCCTCGTTCGGCGCCGGAAATCCGCGATTTCCTATGGAAGGTGGGTCCGTCGCGAGTCCACGCCCTCTTTGATCCATGTTCGCGATCGCCTGGCATAGCTGACAAAACTTCTGCCGCCCCTCCCGCTTCCCCGTTGGACGCCCGAAGTGGGTCAGGAAAAAGTGGGTACAATGCCCAACAACAAATATTGTCCGAACCAGCAGCGGCCGCTGTCGGGCAGGCGGCCTTCTCTCGAATGGACACAGGCCGCGGCGACGAGGACAGCGAGCTCTGCTCAAAATGAACAGGAAATGCTGTTGGGCATGGTACCCATTCTTTCCGTACCCATTTCGTTCGTGCCGATCCCCCTGGGACCCTGTCCTTCGAGGTCTCAGCGCCGGAGGCCAGCGCAGAGTCCTCGAAGGCCTGGGTGGGCCCAGCGGCTGGACCTTCTCCTCCTCATCCGCCTCCTCCTCCGCCGCGGATCGGAGCAAGGCTGGGCAAAGGATGTGGCTGGATGGACGTGCGATGTGGAAATCTGGAGTCTACGAGGTCCAGCACGATTCGAAATCGAACCATCACAATCAATCGCCAAACGCAAGCACGCGTTGCCGCGAGAGCATCCTCAAGGAAAGCACGAACCCCACTTCTCACAATCCAAAACAGCGAATGAGTCGCACGATAACTACATAACGAACTGTAGGAAAGCGCGGGCCGTTCTTTCCTGCACGTGATTTCGAATCGATCTGAACGTTAGTGAAGTAGCTTCTGGCTCGGATTTCTTCTGAAAGCCGCAAGCATGCCCACCGGCCAACCTTACCTACGGTGCCGAGCACGACTACACCCTTACGGAACACACCGTTTGCCCGTCCACGGTTGAAAACGAGGGAACGAACGAGCCCACAAGCCATACGCCACTTGGCGCGTGGGCTAAAGCGTGCGTCTAACTATGCTCGGCGCGGTATTAAGGACAAATCGTGGGCCGCAGGGCTAAGAATAAAGGGAAGGAAAAACGGAGGAGGAGGCGGAGGAAGGCAATTGCCATGCATGGTGCTGCATGTGGTTCCTCCTAGGGCGAGTGACCGGAAAGGGAAGAGGAACGAATAGAGGATGGAAAATGAGGAGGAAAGGAAATAGGACGGGAAGGGAAAGGAGGAAAGGAAAGGAGGAAGGGAAACAGGAAGGGAACGAGGAAGGGAGCACATACAAATGATGAGGAGGAAAGGAAAAAGGGAAAGGGAAGAGAAATGGAAAGGAGGAGGAAAGAAACGAAGGATGAAGGATGTAGGGCTGGCACACCTGGGCGCACAGGAGACTAGCGTGCACGCGGGCACGTGGCGACGGGTCTACAGCCCTGGCGCACTGCCTGGCCAGGGTTTCAGAAGCCTGCATGGATTGTGCCTGAAGCGAAGATGTTGCAACACATTGCAGAAGCCAATGCTGGCAGGGTTACGGCTCATAGGAAGAAGAAGAAGAATAACGAGAAACACATATTTTCAAGCAACTAACAATAAACACAGAACAACTCGCCAGCCCCACGCCAATGGGCGAGCACATATACGGGCGCAGCACCGCGCGACATGCGTAGCCTTCGGCTGGGCCAGGCAGGGCAAGACCCAACACTGCACCGCGTGGCGCGTGGATTCCCGCACCGACCACGACTCCTCTCAGGCCCTACCTCCGACCCCCTTCTTTCGCCTCCTCCTCTTCGTCATCGTCCTCCTCCCTCCCACCCACCCACCCCCGAAATATCCTCCCCCCCCTGGCCTAAAACTACCAGCGAAATACCCTCAACCCCCTGACGTGGGAAATATCCTCACACCCCTGCCGTAAAACTGCTAGCGATGTATCCTCAGCCCTGGCCTAAAAGTGCCAGCGAAATATCTTCACCGTCCTGGCTCAACACTACCAGCGAACTATCCTCACAGCCCTCAGCGAAATATGCTCAACGCCCCTGGCCTAAAGCTGCCATGCCAGCGAAATATCCTCACACCCCTCGCTTGAAACTGCCAGTGAAATATATCCTCACAAACCTCGCTTGAAACTGCCAGCGAAATATCCGCGACCACCTGACTTGAAACTGCCAACGAAATATCCCCAACCCTCTGACTTAAAACTGCCAGCGAACTATTATCTCCCCCTGGCCTAAAACTGCCAGCGAAATATCCCCAACCCTCTGACTTAGAACTGCCGGCGAAATATCCTCACATTACTAAAAATAAGACTGTCAACGAAATATACTCACCCCCAAACTTAGAACTGCCAATCAAATGTCCTCAACCCCGGGCCTTTAAACTTCCAGCGGAGCATCCTTTAAGCCCTGACATGACAACTGCCAACGAAATATCCTCAACCCCTGGCTTACAACTGCCACCGACATATCCTAAAACCCCTGAAATAAAACTGCCAGCGAAGTATCCTCACACTACTCGCTTGAAACTGCCAGCGAAATGTCCTCACCGCCCCTCGCTTAGAACTGCAAGCAAAATATCCTCACCCCCTGGCTTAAAACTGCCAGCGAAATATCCTCCCCCCTGGCCTAAAACTGCCAGCGAAATATCCTCAACCCCCCTGGCCCAAAACTGCCAGTCAAATATCCTCACAGTCTGGACTTAGAACTGCCAGCGAAAAATCCTCACCCCCCTGGCTTGAATTGCCAACGAAATATCCTCACCCCAGAAATTCGCTGGCCCAACGGGCCAAGGGCGTGCTAAAATCTCCGACGATGGTTAACAATATTCTTGTTCGCGCGAGCGGGGCCGCCCCTGGGGGACCCCGGACGAAAAAAAACCCGGCAAAGTCCTGGCAAGCCCAGGCAAAGTCCGCGCAAGTCCCGGCACGGTCCCGGCAAGGTTCCGGGCATGTCCCGGGCAGGTCCCCGCCAGGTCCCAGCAGGCTCCCAAGAGCGTTCCAGGAGCGCTTCAAGTGTCCTCCAAGAGAGCTCAACATGGCCCGAGACGGCCCAAGAGCGATCCAAGACGCCAAAGATGGCCCAAAGCGCCTGCAAGACGCCCCCAGAAGCCTCCAAGAGACCTCCCAAGAGGGCCCACAGAGGCAGAAATTAGTGATTTTGCTAAAGTTTTGAACGTTTTTGGCGTTCTCGCCTTGGGGGCTTACCAGCGCTACAAGACGGCCCACGAGGCTTCCAAGATCGCCCCAGCACAGCCCGAGAGGCCTCCAAGAGCGCCTAAAACGGCCCCAGAGGGCCCCAAGACAGCCCCAAAGGCCTCCAAGATAGCCGAAGAGGCTCCCAAGACGGCTCCAACGGGCCCAGACGGGGGACCCGAACGGACATTTTGAGCTCTACGCGCAAAGAGGTCCCATGGAGGCCCCTAAGCCCTAAGAAGCCCCCAAGAAAACCCCAAGAGGCCCCCGAGGTGCCCCACGATGCCCCCGAGAGGCCCCAAGAGACCCCAACGAGGCCCTCAAGAGGCCCCCCAAAGGCGCACTGCCGACGACCACTCGGCCAATCGACCGCAGTGTGCAATATGGGCCGGCGGAACGAGCGAAGCGATTGAATAAAACTGTCATCGAACGGCCCTGGTGATTCACTTGTCAGTTCAGTTCAGTCAGCCAATCACGCAATCAGACAGTCACTCAGTCTACTTCCAGCAAATCAAGGTACGGGCTGCGCACGCAACACATAACATAAGAACAATTATTTTGCTTCGAGCGATCCCCACCGAAACCTTCGGCGTTCGGTCCCAACGGTGCGCGCACCTGCTGGAAGTATGTGCGCAGTGCCCGGCGTTGCTGTCTTCGAAAGCGTTGGACAGTACTCCATGGAGTAACTCTCTAATATGTTATGCTCCATGAATTCTATGTATGTTATGGACGGGCCGGCGTGACGTCGTGACGCCTGGGCGACACCGTCGTGGTGTGGCTACGGTATACGTGATGTTGTGCGAATGTGTGTGTGTGTGTGGGAGGATTCTGCCCCGATGTAGAATGTGACGCTGTGTTCTCTCATGTCCTGATATCGGAAAGAGCGTGTTCTACCGCTGCTGGCGGAAAACCGGGGGGGGTCACTACCGGTTCGAACCCCTCCCCCCCGCCCCCCCTCCGGAAAACCGGGGGGGGTCACTACCGGTTCGAACCCCTCCCCCCCCCCCCAGCTCATCATGAAAAGGGGGGGGGTCACTACCGGTTCGAACCCCCCCCCTCCCTCGAAAACCGAGTGGGGGTGCGGACAGAGGTGGGGACGGTGTTGGTGGGACAGTGGTGAGGGGACAGCGGGACAGTGGTGGGGACAGTGGGACAGTGGGACAGTAGAGGGCCGGTAGTGGTGGGGACAGTGGTGGGGACAATGGTGGGAACAGGGGGGACAGTGGACAGTGGTGGGGACGGTGGTGGTGGGGACAGTGGTGTGGGCACAGTGGGAATGAGGTGGAAACAGTGGGACAGTGGAGGGTACAATGGTGGTGGGGACAGTGGTGAAGGCGGTGGCGAGGACGGCGGTGGGACAATGGGACAGAGGTACAGTGGGGACAGTGGTGGGGACAGTGGGGACAGTGGTGGGAACAGTGGGACAGCTCAGTGGGACAGCGGCGGAGTCAGTGGGACAGTGGGGACAGTGGGGATAGTCGGGCAGTGGTTGGGGCCGTGGAGACAGTGGGGAGAGTGGAACCGTGGTGGGAACAGTGGTGGGGACAGTGGGGACAGTGCGACAGTGGTGGGGGCACTGGTGGGGACACAGTGGGGACAGTGGTGGTGAGGACAGTGGTGCTGGGAACAACAGTGGAGGATGTGATGCGGACGGTGGTAGGGACCGGGAGTCGTTTGCTGGCGGTGAGTGGGGGGGGGGGGGAAAGGTTCGAACCGGCGGTAGTGATCCCCCTCCGGTTTTCGAGGGGGGGGGGGGGGTTCGAACCGGTAGTGCCCCCCCCCCGGTTTTCCGGATCCGGAGGGGGGGGGGGAGGGGTTCGAACCGGTAGTGACCCCCCCGGCTTTCGAGGGGGAGGGGGGGGGGGGGAGGGGTTAGGGGAGGAAGGGGGTTTTGCCGGGGGGAGGGGGGGGGGGAGGAGTTCCAGCAGGGGGGGGGGATTCTGCAGAGGGGGGGGGGGGGGGGGCGACCCCCGGGTTCCGGAGGAGAAGGTTGGCAATTTTCCACAGTAAAGCGGCGGTGGATCACGCTCTCTCTGATATCGACGGGCCGGCGTGACGTCGTGACGGCTGTCACGCTAGAGACATCGTCGTTTCGCTCATTGATGTGACTCTTGACTCCTGTGGCGACGCTGACCAAAATGTACGTACGGTGGATTATAATACGATATTCCTCTGCCCGTCCGTTATCTCATTCGTGGAAATATGCTGTCATGCACGCTTCTGCCTCAATATGCTTTCGTACATCACGTTATGCTATGCCCTTCGGCACCATGTTAGAACATGATACGATATCCCAACTTATGTTCCGTGATGGTGTTGCCAGCTCGGCTCAATATACTAACATATGATATGATCTGTTACTATGGTTTACTATGTCCTGTTCTGTCGTGGTACTCCTCTCCTCCCCTGCACTACTGCCGTTTCTGTATTAAAACGGTTCAACCGTGTTCCATGTAGTAAAGATCTTTCATGTCATGCTCTATCGTGTCCTCTCCTGTTGTCGACGGGCTGGCGTGACGTCGTGACGCCTGTGACCTTAGATGCGTCGTCTGTTGGGATGCCCCTCTTCACATATATGTTTATGTTCTGGTTGAACATGCTGTGATATGCTCAAATATGTCACCATATGGTTGGAGATGCTATGATGATCTGCGTTGCGGCACTGTGCTATTGCATGATATGCTGACATAGTATGTTACAATATGCTCTGTTCCGTGATGCTGTTGACGGCTCATGGTATGTTCTGCATGTTGACGGATCCGTGATGCTCTGGTCCGTATGCTCTGTTCTGTCATGTTCTGCTCTGGTAATTATTAAGTGATATGATGGTGTCCTCTATTTTGTCTTGACATGTATATGTTCTGTTCTGCCATGTTCTGTCATGCTCTCGCTCTGTCCTGTCATGTTCTGTTGTGTCGTATTGTGTTATGTTGTGTTTTTCGAGGGCGCGAGCGCGAGGCGGGATACCCAAGATTCTCGGGACAATTTGGGGTCTGGCGGCCGCGGAATGCCCTTCTGTCGTGTTTGTCGAGGGCGCGAGGCCGGATAACCGGGACACTCGGGACAACCTGGGGTCTGGCAGCCGCGGTATGCGAGGAATGTTCTGTCGTGTTTGTCGAAAGCGCGAGGCGGGATAACCGGGACTCTCGGGACAACCTGGGGTCTGGCGGCCGCGGTATGCGAGGTGTGTTCTGTCGTGTTTGTCGAAAGCGCGAGGCGGGATAACCGGGACTCTCGGGACAACCTGGGGTCTGGCGGCCGCGGTATGCAGGGTGTGTTCTGTTGTATTTGTCGCAGGCGCGGGGCGGGAGAACCGGGACTCTCGGGACAACTTGGGGTCTGGCGGCCGCGGTTTGCAGGATGGGAGTGGCCGGGAGGTCAATTCTTAAACCTAACGACCCAAACCTCTCCGGTGGGGAATGATAATTACAAAACGAGCGCCAATCATAAGAATAATGGTGAGCAGAAAATGCGTACAACCACGCTGCAGCATCGTCACAATGGTGCAAATTCGTCATGTTGTCGATGGGCATATTTGTGAGCAAAGAAAAAGCAACCACGGGGTACGCTCCCAAATTCTCACGCCGGCCCGCGTCCCCTCTCCGGACACTTGACGCTGCGAAAGAACCGTGAAAAAAAAACGTGCCAAACGACGTCACGGCCAAATCATGTGAAATCTTCTGGCATGCCGCATTTATCGATATGTGGAAATCCTGGGGTTCGAAGGCGGGCAGACAATCTTCATGACGATTTGCGTCACAACGCCCAAGTAGGTCACCGCCCCTCCGCTTGCAGGCGCGGGAGAACGCCTTGTCCAGCTGGAGCGTCACATCCTCCCGCAGGCGGAACAATGCATGGAGCGCGCCCGCAACGCGAAAATCTGGAACGCTGACGTGTTACTCAGGAACGCAAGCAAGGCCAGCCCGACATAGCCAGCTCGACAGGGCCAGCGGCATCTGAGACCATATTATGTCTCGCGCCTGCCCTGGATGCTCTAAGTAACAGTGGTATCAGAAGGCAGACGAGTACGACGAGGAAGTCTAAAATTGCGGGGTATGGAACCTGTACGAAAGAAAACATGGCGGCAATACGAAGTACATTGCGGGGCTTCTACTTTTCCTACTGCGAATAGATATGCGTCAACGCTGAAGGCCGAACAACGCCGACCTCGCCTCTTTGAACCATATTGCGGGCGATCGAACAGCTCAGGCGGAGAGGAAGTACCAAAAGAAAAAGGGAACCATAACTGTTCAACGCCAAGCACATTCCAAACCCGGCAAGCAGATGCCGCCGCTGTCAAGCCTGACGGGCGGGCGAACGGGGGGCGAGCTGATCCACTTCATTGATGGGCTCACCAGCGCGTTTGCGATCGGCGCTGGAGGCGCTCGCGCGCGTGAGAGATGATGGCGCGAATTCGAATGCGCCGCGCTGCGTGGTGCGGGGCCGCAAGCACGACATGTGAAAGCCTGTCCTGGGACATAAGCAAAAATCATGGACCCAGAGTCATGGGAGTGGCGCGGTGGAGGCGTAGTTCCCAGACCTGGCACGTGGGAGAGAAGGTGATGGATCGAGATAGACCTTATGGGATGTGCTCACTATTTTGGCAAGGTTACCTCGCGATCCGCGCTGCGCGCTCCGATCGCGATCACCGTGGGCGACCTCCTCTCTGGGCGTGCCAGGCTCGGCGCAACGCCCCTGGGCGAGGGCGGCCGCCGCGGCTCGTCGGCACTTGTCGCGCAGAGGTTCGCGACCGCGCGCCGGCGCTTGACCATCCCCCCGGCGCTGCGGATCTTCTTCTTCTCCTTGGGAAAAGTCGGCGGCGCCGTCTGGCGCGGCTCGCTCGCGCCCATGCTCTCGCCCTCGCCCGCGACGGCTACCGCCGCGGCGCGTTCTCGGAGGCGCGATGGCCCCCGCCCGAAGCCAAAACGGGCGCGGAGTCCACGGGCGAGACAGCGTCGGCCTCCAGCTCGAAACGCGAGCCGCGCTGGCCCCGTCGCACACTGCCTCGCCAGATAGCGACTGAGGCCGACCGCGGGCGAGCTGCGGCGACGAGGCACGCGCTCGCGCGAAGGCGAAGGAGGCACGCTGCGCGCAGTGACAGCCCCGCCGGCCGCGCACGACCAAGCGGACGGCTCTCGGACGACGGGGCGTCGAGCGATGCGCCATCAAGCTCGGCCAGCGGATCCTGGCCGAATCTGGGCCAGGACCCCGCTTTATCGGCATCCAGCAACGCCTGCACTCGTCTCGCTGCTGGGGGGCCCACGAACCCAAAAGGCATTGGAGCTCCGTCGGGAACATCGCGAACGCGATGCCCAACAAGATGTTCGCAAGCGTAGGTAGGCCTCGGATCATTAGCCCAGCCGTGGACTCTCCGCGCTTCGGATGAAAATCCTGCGCGGAGCTCGGGATCCATCGCGCTGACACTGAACGGGGTGCGAAGCGCGACCTGTTCTGGCAACGGATCCGCAAGGTGCCACTTGCGCGCGAAGTTCATACTCTCCCCGTCGGGCTCGGTGAACGGCCGAGCGTCCTCTGAGAGCACCGTGGCCGGCACTCCTGGAGGAGGTGGTGCGCTTGGCGGGGTCGGCGTCGTCGCGGGCGCCTTACTAGTAGACAATAGACACCAACCGCGAATGAGACGCGGCAGCCGGGCAGCGCCTGCGCGGAGATGGCGCAGGCGACCGGAGACGGGGAAGTCTTGGGCATGAGCGTAGCCTTGTGAAGCAGGCGACGCAAGCTCCGCGCCCCCTGTCCCGTTGGACTGCTGCGCCGGACGCCCCGCGTCGCAAGCTCGGGCCCTGCGCGGCGGCGGCGTCATCGCAAGCGCGCCGGAAAAACGGATCGTCGCCCACGGCCCTGGGGCCGTCGACTCTTGCCCGGGTGCCCAGCGGGGGCGTCGGAGACCGAGCCCGCGGCGCGACTCGGCCTGCAGTCGACGCGAGCGCCGTGTCTTCTGGCGACGCCATGTCTTCCGCAGAAGACAAGGAAGACGAGGGCGCGGGGCGCGAGCGGCGAGGCGGCGTGCCCGGGACTCCGGCAGCTCTTTCTGAGGCACGGCGACACGCGCGCGCCGAGAGCCCGCGCCTGGGCCCGGGGGCGCGCGAGCTACAGCCAGCAGCTCAGCGCGCTGCGGCCGGACGGCGCTCAGCTCAGCGCAGCTAAACCTGCCAATGAAAAGCGGCAATTGCATCGCGAATGCTGACCCCGGATCCGCCCTGCCAGTTCTGCGCCCGCCACGTCCGCGCACGCGCTCGCCTGCGTTCATGGCGCAGCGACACCTCGCCACTGCAGCGTGCACTCCCGACAGCATGTTCCCCCGAACTGACGCGCTAGGGCGCCCCCCAATCATCGCACGCCATGTGCCAGACCATCCGAAAAGATTGGGGCGGGCAAGGACCAATCATCCCGAAGAGGGCGGAGCGCCCGCTGCCCTTATGCGCGTGATAATGTACGTTAGTTGTCGGTGGTCGGCTGGCGCTCGTGCCCCGACGGCGCCGCGGGCATGCTGGCCGACGCGAGGTTGTCCGCGCGCGGCGCATGCGACCGCTGACGAAACCCGCCGGACACGCTATGATCAGCAAATCAAAATTCACTGTCCTTGGTTAGTCCGTCCGCGACCACGTCGCGCGCATCTTCCCGGGCGAGGGCCCACAGATGAGGCGAGATCAGAAGGCCGCGGAGCCAAGTCACGCGCGGCAGCAGTGAGTGTTCGGCCAGAGGCTTACGCATCGTAGCTGCGACGGCTGTGACCACTCCCATCGAGTAAGGGCAGAGCTCGATTTGCAGCGCGTGCGGCCGTCGACTATCACGATGGCGGCGCGCCGCTGCAGGGTCACGAGGCCCTGTGATTAAAGTGATTCCTGGGGAGGGGTGGCTAGAGCAAGGGCGCATCAGCCGACTTGCGAAGGTACCTCGTGCAACTGCTTCGAGCGCCCCGCACTGCCAGTCCAATGAGCGAAGCGAGTGCATGCCAAAGAAACCTCGGAGAGCCCCGCGTCTGCGGCGCCGATGCGCAAAAGTGGCTCTTCGCAAGGCTCGCCCTGAGTCGGCGCCCTCCTTCGATTCCTGTCGGAATGCCGCGTCGCTGTGTATTTCGAGCTTGCGTGCGCAACGCATGGGCGGATAGCGGATGCGTAATGGCATGGCCTGTGCACATCTCGCGAACATGTTGAGCTTCCGTATGTGGCCGCGCGTTGGCGCCGCTGCGGGGCGTGGAAGAGCGACTGCTTACCCGCGCAGATCGATCCGGGCGATGGGAACGACGGCCAGGGCCACGAGCGGACTTAAGCAAATTTTGGCCAGGCTCTCCGAAAGGAGATCGGATTCGAATGTTCTCGAAAGCTCGGCACCCCCTTATTGGCTTCAGCGCCTGACTGTGCTCAATCTGACCCAGCTCGCATCCGCTGTCAGGCGCGGGTGAATAACGCGCACAGCAGCACGTGAAAGTTCCTTCGCTTACATCCAGGACACCTTTCCCGAAGGCATCCTCCATACATTGACGTAACTTGGCTCTCGCCCGAAAATCCCGTGGCCCTGATGTCATCAACGTGCTTGGTGACCAATAGGACGAATTCATCGTCCTTGTGTTTGGCACATGTGAATGGTGATCTTGATGCGCACGCTGCACCGGGAGCATGGTTGCTCGACGCTGAGAGATTCAAGTGCTGCGTCAAAATCGTGGCGCCCCTATACTTCGTGCAGGACTTCGACGACATCGGGGGGGGGGGCTCAAACTAACCTCAGATCGGCGTCGGCGCCCTTGAAGCCTCAGAGGGCCAGCCTCATGCGGATGCTTTGGACCTCTTGAAATTGGCATGATTACTTCGCGTCCATGTCCGCTTGCCTGCCCACCTGCATCCACGGATGTTGCGCGCTCCTCGGATCTACCCGCGCGCGCAGTTCATCGAGCACAGCGGCAGCCGCGGCTGCGGCATGCTCTCGGGACTCTTCGGGGGCGAACAACTGAGACTTACGTTGGGCCTCTGCCTTCGTGGATCCTGCCACGTAGACCTGGGGGGCGCGCAGGGGCCGCCGGGAACAGGATGATCCAGCATGTCTTTGTGCATCTCGTCCGAAGCCAACATGTCCACGTAGGCGTTCCCGGCGTCATCGGTGTCGATGGCCTCTGGGGTCTCTAAAGGCGCAGCGCCGACTGCGAAGTGCTGATGTTGCTGACGCACCCCAATGGGCAGGATTTGTGGTAATGGACGTGTGGGAGCAGGTTGGGTCTCCGCATCCTTCTTGACTGCCTATTGGTTGCGCGTTGCGGTGGTCCACCGCGCGGGGTCGATGGGTAGCGATCGCTCAAGAAAGAGTCTTCGCGGGACCCTTCCTCGATGTTGAAGGGCCCCCCTTCGTCGTGCGAGGAGTCGCCCAGGCGCGTGCCTGCCCCAAAAGGATCGGAACCAACCTCCCGAAGCGTCTGCCACCAGGAGCTCATCTTCCACAAGGTCTCCAAAGCAGCGCCCCGCTACCTCTCTAAGTATGACTAAGGGATATCACAGGTTGCCGCGGTCCAGGCAGAGAAGCTCGACCAGGCATAATCTACCAGCCTCAAAGATCCACCAATAATTCACTTCGACGGCCCGGTCACTAGCATGCCAGGAGTGAACTGTCCCAACTGTCTTCGGCCACGACAAACTCGAGGCCACGGCCGACTTGGATGACAGCGAAGCTGATGATAATTGTAAATGTCTCTAGCTAAGTACTTGGAGCTCAAGGCCACAGAGCATTTCTTAGTGGTGACGGCTGTGACCGCGCGGGCGTCGGCAAGGCCAGAACGCTGGAAAACCTGAGCTTAGATGCTCCGGACATGTGGTCATACATGCACCCA